GGATTACAGGCGTGAGCCACCGTGCTCAGCCTACCATGCTGCTTTCTACAGCACTGCACCATTTTGTATTTCCTCCAGCAATGTACAATGGTTTCAACTTCTCCACAATTACCAACATTTGTTATTTTCCATGTTTTCTATTATAGGCAACCTAGTGGTTATGAAGTGGCATCTCATTTTTATTTGATTTGCATTTCTCTAATGACTAATTATATTGAACGTCCATTCATGTGCTTGTTGGCCATCTCTAGATCTTTTTTGGAGAAACGTCTATTCAAATCCTTCACCCATTTTTAAATTGGGTTATTTGTGTTTTTCTTGTTATGAGTTCTTTATATATTCTGTATACTAGACCATTATCGGATATGTGATTTGCAAACATTTTCTTCTGTTTTATAGATTATCTTCTCCCTTTCTTTCTTTTTCTCTTCTCTCTCTCTCTCTCTCTCTCTTGCTCTCTCTCTTTCTCTCTTTCTCTTCTTTCTTTCCAGGTGCCTGCCACCACGCCTATCTTTTCACTTTCTTGATAGCGTCCTTTGATAGACCAAAGTTTAAAATTTTTATGAAGCCCAGTTTATCTGTTTTTCTAAGCAACCACTGCAAAATCCAAGGTCAAGAAGATTCAACCCTAGGTTTTCTCCTAATAGTGTTATAGCTTGATCTCTTACATTTAGGACATTGATCCATTTTGAGTTAATTTTTTGGATTAGTATGGAATAATGGTCCAACTTCATTCTTTCCATTTCTCCCGGCACCATTGGCTGAAGAGATTATTCTTTCCAATTGACTGGTCCTGGCTTCCTTGTGAAAAATCAGTTGGCCACATATGTATGAATTTATGTCAAGACTCTCAATTTTATTACATTGATTTATATAGCTTTTATCATATTGTGAAGCTTACCTTTTATTTTTATGTTGTTTACTATTTTTAATCATGAAAATGTGTTAGTCCTTGTCAAAGGCTATCCTTATGGCAATGCCACACTGTATTAATTTAATTTTGTTTTATAGACAGGGTCTCCCTCTGTCACCTAGGCTGGACTGCAGTGATGCAATCAAGGCTCACTGTAGCCTTGACCTCTCAGGCTCAAGTGATCCTCCTGCCTCAGCCTTCCAAGTAGCTGGGACTACAGGTGCACCACCACACCTAGCTAATTTTAAAAAATTCTTTTTTTTTTTTTTTTGGTAGAAACGAGGGCTCACTATTTTGCCCAAGTTGGTCTCAAACTCCTGGGCTCCAGCTTCAAGCTATCCTCCCACCTCAGTCTTCCAAAGTATTGGGATTACAGGCATGAACCACTGGGCCCAGCCTGACACTATTTTATTTACTGTAGCTTCCTAGTAAGCTTTGAAATGGGAAAGTGTAAGTCCTTCAACTTTGTTCTTTTCAACATTGCTTTGACTATTCAGGCTCCTTGCAATTCCATAGGAATTTTAGGATTTGGCTTTCCCATTTCTAAAAAAAAAAAAAAAAAAAAAGACCATCATTGGGATTTTGATAGACATTGCATTGAATCTCTAGATTTGTTAGGGGAATACTGCCATCTTCATGGTATTAAGTCTTCCAATTCATGAATAATGAACACATGCTGTTTTTTCATATATGTAAGTTCTCTTTAATTTATTTCAGCAGTGTTTTGCAATTTTCAGGCTATAAGGTTTACAACCTCCTTGGTTAAATGTATTTCTTAGTATTTTATTATTTTTGTGGAATTTAAACAATTTCCTTTTTGGACTGCTCATTTCTAGTGTATAGAAATGCAACTATTTTTGGCTGGGCACTGTGGCTCATGCCTGCAATCCCAGCACTTTGGGAAGCCATGCTGGGAAAATTGCCTGAGCCCGGGAGTTTGACACCAACCTTGGCAATATAGTGAGACCCTTTCTATACAAACAAATTAAAAAATTAGGTGGGCGTAATGGTGTGTGCCTGTAGTCCCATCTACTCAGAAGGCTGACATGGGATAGTCCCATCTACTCAGAAGGCTGACATGGGAGGATCACTTGAGCCTGGGAGGTCTAGGCTGCAGTGAACCTTGATCACATTGCTGCACACCAGCCTGGGCAACAGAGTTAGACCCTATCTCAAAAAACAGGAAAAAAAATACAACTGATTTTTGCGTGTTAATATGTATTCTGCAACTTTATTAAATTTGTTTATTAGTTCTCATATTTCCTTTTGGATATGATTTTTTTAGGATTTTCTGTGTATTAAATTATATCGTCTGCAAATTGAGATCGTTTTATTTCTTCCTTTCCTATTTCAATAATTTTGTTTCTTTTTCTTGCCTGATTGTTCTGGCTAGAACTTTTATTACAAGGCTGAATGGTAGTGGTGATAGTAGCCATACTTATATTGTTCTTTTTTTAAAATTTATTTTTATTTTTATTTATTTATTTATTTTTGCATCTCTCCCTCCCATTTCACTTATATTGTTCTTGATCTGAGGGGAAAGATTTTAGTCTTTCACCATTGCTTTTGATATTGGCTGTGGGTTTTTCTATATGTGTCCTTAATTATGTTATGAAATTTCCCTTTTATTCCTATTTTGTTGAGTATTTTTTGCATGAAAGGATGTTGGATACTGTCAAAGGCTTTTCTGCATCTGTTGAAATTATCCTCAGATTTTTTTCTTCATTCTATTAACATGGTATATTATATATTGACTTATTTTCATGTTGAACTACCCTTGCATTCCTGGGATAAATCTCAGTTGATCATGATGTATAATTCTTCTAATATTCAGTAGATTTCATTGGCTAGTATTTTATTGAGGGCTTTTGCATCTACATTCAGAATGATATTAGTGTGTAATTTTATTTTCTTGTGTTGTCTTTGGTTTTGGTATTGGGGCAATGTATGTTGGTCTCATAGGATGAGTTAGAAAGTCTTCCTTTTTCTTCTATTTTTTGGAGCAGTTTGAGATGATTTGGTGTTACTTTTTCTTCAACTGTTTGCTAAAACTCACCAGTGAAGCCATTTGGTCCTGGGTTTTTCTTTGTTGGGAGGTTTTTGATTACTGATTCAATCTCTTTACCTGGTGTAGGTCTATTCAGAATTTCTATTTCTTCTGGAGTCAGTTTTGATCATTTGTGTCTTTCTAGGAATTTGTCTATTTCATCTAGGTTGTCTAATTTGTTGATATATAATTGTTTGTGGCATTCTCCTGTAATCATTTTTATTTCTGTAAGGTTGGTAGCAATGTCCTCACTTTCATTTCTAATGTTAGTAATATGAGTCTTCTGTCTTTCTTAGCCAATCTAGCTAAAGGTTTGTCCATTTTAAATTTTTTTAAGAGAAAAGGATATGAAAACTATGTATTTGGGCACAAAAATGCAATGAGTAGTAAGAAACCATATTCCATCAATTATGACATTCTGTAATGTAGGAACACAGAAAATTTTGTTATTAAGACATGCCAAGAGGAAAAAGAACTCTATAAAGTCCTCTTCAATTTACTTTGTTAGGGAAAAGGATGTTTATTTGGCTCTTGTCACAGTTTTATTATGTCTACTCTCCTTCTAAGTTCAGCTTCAATTCTGTCTAATTCTTGCTTTGCTTCTTCAATTTTCACTTGAGCAAGAGATGGATTAGGTATTAAGTCTAAAAAGGACTTCAATTTTTTCTTCAATGGTATAGACTATTATAATTTTGCCAGTTTCTCTGACAATGCTGCTAGGGACTGATGAAACAGAGAAGCATCCATGCCTCTGGCTGAAAGTTGCTCCTTTGCAGCTCTGATTCCAAATCTGAATTCCTCTGACTTTGCTTTTAGAAAGTCCATATATGACAATGATGGCCAACTTTGGCCCTTTCTGTAGAAAGAAGCAACTCTGCTGTCTTGAAATCCTCTTGTAGACATTTTTCTAATACTAAAGTTGCAGTTAGATTTTTTTCAAGTTTTTCCAGTTCAATCTTGATTTCTTCACTTTTGGATTTGGTATAAAAGGCATCATTCACTGCAGAGATAAAACTAGCTAGTGGGGTCTCCTTTGTTTCTAGGGCCACCACACTGTCAACCAAAGTGTTCATATGCCTGGAACCAGTAGTAGACAGACTGGCAGGGGAAAAAATTCACACTCTCCATGAGAAGATCTTGAAGATACTTCTGACTCGTATTCACTTGCTTTCTGCTTCAAGTCCTCTATTATCAGATAGACATCCCTGTCCCGGATCTTCTTGTGTTCTTTTTTTTTTTTTTTGAGACAGAGTTTTGCTCTTGTTACCCAGGCTACAGTGCAATGGAGTGATCTCGGCTCACTGCAACCTCCGCCTCCTGGGTTCAGGCAATTCTCCTGCCTCAGCCTCCTGAGTAGCTGGGATTATAGGCACGCGCCACCATGCCCAGCTAATGTTTTGTATTTTTAGTAGAGACGGGGTTTCCCCATGTTGACCAGGATGGTCTCGATCTCTTGACCTCGTGATCCACCCGCCTCAGCCTCCCAAAGTGCTGGGGATTACAGGCGTGAGCCACCGCGCCCGGCCCCTTCTTGTGTTCTTAAAGGTGATGTAAAATCTCTGTGATCCATGGGTTCACCTCATACTGTGGAATGCGGTGATCTTCAAATTTCTTTTTTTTAGACAGGGTCTCACTCTGTCGCCAGCTGCCAGGCTGGAGTGCAGTGGCACAATCTCGGCTTACTGCAACTTCTGCCTCCCGGGTTCAAGCAATTCTCCTGCCTCAGCCTCCCGAGTAGCTGGGACTACAGGCGCACACCACCATGCCCAGCTAATTTTTGTATTTTTAGTAGAGACGTGTTGGCCAGGATGGTCTTGATCTCTTGACCTTGTGATCCGCCAGCCTCAGCCTCCCAAAGTGCTGGGATTACAGGCTTGAGCCACCGCGCCCGGCCCTCTTCAAATATTTTTTTAATCATGCAGCAACCTGCATTTCTCTCTCCTCCAGTGGATCCGTAGCTGCTACTCCCGCCCATTTTAAAATATTTTTCAAGAAATCAACTTTGGTTTCATTGATTTTCTATTATTTTATATTCTCTTTTTCATTTATCTCTGTTTGGATCTCTATTCTTTTCTTTGTTCTGTTAGCTTTGAGTTTATTTTTCTCTTCTTTTTTATTTTTTTCTAGTTAATGTTTTTGAGGTGTCTAGTTAAATTATTGGCTACAGAGCTTCCTTTTTAATGTAGACATTTACACTTACACATTTCTCTCTGAGCACTACTTTTACTTCATCCCACAAGTATTGATATGTTGTGTTTTTGTTTTCATTCTTCTGAAAGTATTTTCTGATTTTCCATGTGATCTCTTTTCTGACCCATTGGTTGGTTGATTTCAACATATTTGTGAATTTTCCAGTTTCTCTTCTGTTACTCATTTCTAGTTTATTCCACTATGGCCAGAGAAGATACTTGGTGTGATTTTAACTTTTAAATATGATTGACACTTGCTTTGTGGTCTATCATATGGTCTACCTTGGGGAATGTTCTGTGCATTTGAGAAGAATGTGTATTCTGTTATTTTGGGATTGAGTGTTCTAAATATGTCTTTTAGGTCTAAATGGTTTAGTGCTACTTAAGTCCTTTACTTCCTTATTTATCATTTGTCTACTTGTTCTGCTTAGTATTGAAACAGGGGAAGCTGGGTATAGTGGCATGCACCTGTAATCTCAACTACTCAGGAGGCTGAGGCAGGAGGATTGCTTGAGCCTAGGAGTTCAAGACCAGCTTGGGCAATATAGTGAGATCTTATCTCAAAAAAAGAAAAAGAAAAAAGTAGAGTACTGAAGTCTCCAATACTCTAGAACTATCTATTTCTCCCTTCATTTCTGTCAACTTTTGCTTCACATAGTTGCTCTATTGTCAGGTGCATACATGTTTATGTTTGTTTTATCTTTTTGATGAATTGAACCTTTTATGAATATATAATGTGCTTCTTTGTCTCTTGTAACAGTTTTTGACTTACAGTCTATTTGATGTGATATTTACGTAGCCACCACAGACTCTTTTAGTTGCTATTTGCATGGAATATCTTTTCCCATTTTCCTACTTTTAACTTATTTGTGTCTTTGGATCTAAAGTGGGTCTTGGCTGGCCATGGCAGATGATGCCTATAATCCCAACACTTTGGGAGGCCACAGTGGAAGAATCACTTGAGTCCAGAAGTTTGAAACCAGCCTGGGCAACATAGTAAGATCCCATCTCTACCAAAAAATAAGAATATCTAGATATGGTGGCACACACCTATAGTTCCAGCTACTTGGAGGCTGAGGCAGGAGGATCACTTGAGCCTGGGAGGTTGAGGCTGCAGTGAGCCTTGATCACATCGCCATACTCTAGCCTGGGCAACAGAGTGAGACCTTGTCTCTTAAAAAAATAAAGAAAATAAAATGAGCCTCTTGTAGACAACACATAGATAAATTATGGGCTTTTGAAAAAATCTATTCTTGCAAACTCTGTTATTTAATTGGGGAGTTTATTCCACTTACCTTTAAAGTAATCACTGATAACAAGGACTTACTTCTACCATTTTGCTATTTGGCTATATATTTTTGTTTCTTAAATCTTCTAATATTGCCTTTTGTATTAATTGATTTTTTGCAATGTGCTGTATTGATTTTTTTCTCATTATCTTTTTGATATTTTTTTCTTTCATTTTTCCTTTTTCAATTTCTTTCTTCTGACAGGATATAAGACACTCAGTTTGCTTGAGTTTTAAAATGATATTTCCTTTACCCCAGTTAATGAGCAATAAAGACGTAAATCCATTTGGCCAAGTGAACAGGGTTTTTTCCCCATATTTTAAAAAGTTCTTTTTCTATTGGCCAGGGATAGTGGCGCAGGCCTGTGGTCCTAGCTACTCAGGAGGCTGAAGTGGGAGGATTGCTGGAGCCTGGAAAGTTGAGGCTGCAGTGAGCCGTGATCATGCCACTGCACTCTAGCTGGGGTGACAGAGTGAGACCCTGTCTTAAAAACAAAACAAAACTGATTTTCCTTGTGGCCACCTTGGAGATTACAATTAATATCTTAAATTTAAAACAATCTCTCTAGGCACAATGGTATGCACCTGTAATCCCAGCTACTCAGGAGGCTGAGGCAAGAGGATCTTTGAACCCAGGAGTGTGAAACCAGGATGGACAACATAGTGAAACCTCATCTAAAAAAAAAAAAAAGCCAGGCGCAGCAGCTCACACCTGTAATGCCAGTGCCCTGGGAGATTGAGGCGGGCAGATCATGAGGTCAGGAGATCAAGACCATCCTGGCTGACACAATGAAACCCTGTCTACACTAAAAATACAAAAAATTAGCAGGGTGTGGTGACGCGCACCTGTAGTCCCAGCTACTGGGTAGGCTGAGGCAGGAGAATCACTTGAACCCGGGAGGTAGAGGTTGCAGTGAGCCGAGATCACACCGCTGCACTCCAGCCTGGGCGACAGAGCAAGACTCTGTCTCAAAACAAACAAACAGAAAACATCTAGCAATCTAGCGTGAATTAATACCAATGTAGCCTCAATATTTATAAAGATTTTATCCCACATATCTGCATCTTTTCTTGTTATGTTGCTAATGTCACAAATTATATCTGTATACATTATATGCCCATTATCATAGGTTTATAATTATTATTTTATGCATTTGTTTTTAAAATCATATAGACAAAAAACAGGAGTTACAAACCAAAAATGCAATAACACAGGCTTTTATATTTACACATGTAGTTACCTTATTATTGTTCCTTATTTCTTTATATGGCTTCAAGTTACATCTAGTGTCCTTTCATTTCAGGCTGATGAAATTTTTGGTAAGGCAAGTCTCCTAGCGAGGAATTACTTCAGCTTTGATTTTTCTGGGAGTGTCATAATTTTGCCTTCATTTTTGAAGGATAGTTTTGCCAGATATATAATTCTTGATTGGCAGGGTTTTTTTTTAAAGCACTTTAAATACCGTTGTCTCTTGGTATCTTTTTGGGGATTGGTTCCAGGAACCCCCTGCAGATATCAACATTAAGACATTCAAGTATCTTATATAAAATGGTGTGGGCAAGGCACGGTGGCTCACGCCTGTAATTCCAGCCTTTGGGACGCCTTGAGCCCAGCAGTTTGAAACCAGCCTGGGCAACATAGTGAGATCTTGTCACTACAAAAAAATAAAAATTAAAAAAGACTGTAAAAAAATAATAATAGCTACTCGAGAGGCTGAAGCAATAGCTTGAGTCCAGGAGGTGAAAGCTTCAGTGAGCCATGATCACACCATTAGCCTGGGTGACAGAGCAAGACCCTGCCTAAAAAATATACTAATAAAAATAGCCAGGCGTGGTGGCTCACACCTGTAATCTCAGCACTTTGGGAGGCCAACACGGGCAGATCGCTTAAAATCAGGAATTTGAGACCAGCCTGGCCAACATGGTGAAACCCTGTCTCTACTAAAAATGCAAAAATCAGCTGCGAGTGGTGGTGCATGCCTGTAACTCTAGCCACTGGGGAGGCCGAGGCAGGAAAATTGCTCAATCCCAGGAGGTGGAGGTTGCAGTGAGCTGAGATCACGCTACTGCACTCCAGCCTGGGTGACAGAGCGAGACTCCATCTAAAAAGAAAAACAACACAAACAAAAAAACTAATAAAAATAAAAAATAGAATGTTATAATATCTGCCCAAAACCTATGTACATCCTCCCACATACTTTAAATCATCTCTAGATTACTTATAATTCCTAATACAATGTAAATGCTATGTAAATTGCTGTTATACTATACAGTTTAGGGAATCGTGACAAGAAAAAGTCTGTACATGCTCAGTACAGACAAAATCATTTTTCTCCCAAATATTTTTGATTCATGCTTGGTTGAATCCACAGATGCAGAGCCTATGGATATAAAGGGCCAACTTTATGTTATTTCCATGGTTTCTGGGGCTAAATCTGTTTTTAGTATTATTGAAGATCCATTGCACATAATAAGCTGCTTCTCTCTTGCTGTTTTCAAGATTCTCTCTTTATCTTTGTGTGTTTTCTTGTTTTTTCTTTCTTTCTTTTTTTTTTT